AACCTAACCATTTTGCACATCTCTAGTTAAAACCTAACCTAACCCAACCTAACCTAACCATTTTGCACATCTCTAGTTAAAACCTAACCTAACCTATCCTAACCTAACCCTTTTGCACATCTCTAGTTAAAACCTAACCTAACCCAACCAAACCTAACCATTTTGCACATCTCTAGATAAAACCTAACCTAACCCAACCTAACCTAACCATTCTGCACATCTCTAGTTAAAACCTAACCTAACCTAACCATTTTGCACATCTATAGTTAAAACCTAACCTAACCCAACCTAACCATTTTGCACATCTATAGTTAAAACAACGTTCTCAAGCAACAATTTCTTAAAATTAATCTTACCCAATGGCGATGTATCTCCAAACAGCAAGTGCTAGGGTCAGGCAGATTGAGATGGTGTGTAAAACTTGAGTAAAATTAGTGTGAAACAGTATGAACACCGCTCCCCAATACGGAAAGTTCATTTTTTTCGGTAGATCGATGTAGTAGTAATACGCGAACGTGATGTATTCGATCATTATAATCATGTCGGCGATTGCTATCCCTGTCAGGATCCTATTGATGGGTGCACACGCCATGTCCTTCCTCGTCAAAACCGCCACCGTTAACGAATTCGATATTATACCGAAACAACACACAACCATCGACAAATATCCGTGATAATTTCTCGAATAGTGATTGGCCAGTTTTGTCACCAACCAATCGCAGTCTTCGCAAAAGTCGTTGTCGCTTTTTCTGTAGACGCTCAAATTGTTTAAAAAACTTTGCAACGTGGTCGCGTTTATTGTCGAAATATTTTGAAAATCTGATGTATTTTCTTCCATGGTGTTTTCCTCGCAGTTGGAACGAATTTAGGGCTGTTTTTCTGGCATTATTTGTGGTTCAATGCATTCGTAATAGACTGAATTTGTCATTTTCTTTTAATATAATTACAGCCATCTACGTGATCAAGTGTGTGAATCTGAAACAGAAGTTACATATTTATATATTAAAAAAAGCATACACATACGATTATTTTTTACGAAGTTACGATCACTTGAAAGTACATATTCATATAAAATTTGCCGAGAGTCTATAGCTTATGAGCTTTTAAATTTGATAACGTACGGTAACATTATTGAGAGATTGCTTGTGAACCAATTACGTTCACTCTTTTCGACTACCCATAAAACTATGTAATTTATAATTCTCTAGCATAGGCTATATTGTACTATAACGAATTTTATATTAACCTAACTCTTTGTCTTACAATCGGTTATTTATGTATATATCAGAACACTAGATTTATCTCCCGTTCGCACATTATTTATATGATATCAACCACTTCCTTTCTGAAACTTAAAATAACTTTTGGATGTTTCATTCTACCATTTAATGGTCCTCCCATCTACACCGTGGTGCAAACCTGGAGAGTAGGGAGGAAGGCCATTTTGAACCACCTTACAGGGATTGTTGAAATAGATGGGTGCGGTGATAGATAGAGATAGATGAAACGAACGAAGACAGAAATAAACTGAAGGACTATCTGTGGAATACGGTTACTACCTCAGCATTTCCTATGTGTTTCAAGGAATTCACAAAAAAACATAGACTAGGATGCTTGGTCACTTATTTATTCGGTCATAGAATATTTTCCATTATTTACTTTCAGCGTACCGCTGCATGAGATATGTAGTTATGACCGTAATTATCTTTCAGTGTTGCCCTGCTCGTATCGATCGCTTGCGGTATTCGTTCATAACAGTATTTTCCATATACTTAATGTCGGTCACGTAAAGGCAATACTAAACCTCTTACCGACTTTACAATATCACTCACCACTATATTGTAATAATTATTTGTATCATACTATGTTACTCTTAATTAAAAATTGATAACAGCTTTTATACAGGTATATAGATTTTCATTAATAACGAAATTCTATTAAACGCTTTAAACCTTTTGAAAATACATATTTCTACCGAGAAAGTCCGTTGAATAACAGCATAGCTATTGTTTGATTATTTCCGAATTATAATAGATTTGTGAATGTTTGAAACGTTTAATTCAACATTACAAATGTGCAATGCATAATCAGATTTCCGTATTTGCTAAATTGCTTTTAATTCACTAGGCATAACGTCAATTCATTTTCAATTTTACTGCGTACACTTCTTTTTCTAGATTCAAATCAATCTTCAACATACGAAATATGAAAGAAAATAAAATATCATACAATTATTCCATATTTTGAGCCTGTTGTTCCTGATTTACAAAATAGACGAGTTGTCACGTAGTTCAAAGGATGTTCTCTGTAACATTATTAGACGTTTTTGTTAACTTAAACAGTTTTATTTAGTGTTGACATATGTGAGATACACAAAGTATTTTTTTTTTTTGATAGCGACTGTCACACAAAAGTACAAATTTGCTATAATTTGAGAAATTTCATGGCTGGGGAGGCTTCAGTCCCTTGAGCTCCCTCTTTTGAGCACATGTCTGATAATATCAATGTATAGTTAGATACTGAATATAATTGTACTACTTCATTATAGTATCTATACTAGGTTTTATCTGTAGCTTCCCTCGTATCAAAGATCATCGAGGACCACATAATATTAATGTTTCTATCCCCCGGGAACAGTATTTTCTTTCTGGATAAAAGATACCCTACGTCTTTTTCTGTACCCTTGACGATGTGCGTACAAAATTTCATGATAGGTTTTACCCGCTGGTGTTTGTTTTAAATACGTATTAAAAATAATCGACGACCACATAAAATTAATTTGTCTATCTCTCGGGAACAGTATTTTTTTCTGGATAAATGGCACCCTACGTCCTTTTCTGAACCCCTGACAATACAATACAAACATTAATGATGATCATTGAGTAGCTAAGGCGTGAAATGGAAGAGGAACGTAGTAGAATCAAGGCGCACGTCCTAATAAATTATTTGAAACAATTTGAATTATTGAAGCGGTACGGAAATACACGTTTTCGTAAAATACCAGTAAGGGCAGAAATGTGTTGATGATTTCATTAATCCAAGAACCGGGATTATTATCTAATCGATCGCTAACACTAATTACAGCACAAAATAAGGGGAGAGCTCAATTCCACTCCGCCAGAATATATACTATACTTTACGAGTTTATGAGATTTCGCCCATTTTCTCTGTTTCTCATTGTGCTTAACGCTCAACTGATTGTAATGTATTACATCGCCTTTAAATCTCCAAAATATCTGTTCATAAAACGTTTGTAATCTGTTCCATTACGATTAGTGTCATCGCGAGGGATTTTAACAATGGACATAGTCAGAGATACGAAAAATGGTTGTCAGAATTACGTATCTAAAATAGGGAATAAGTACGTTTAATAAAATAACTAGTGTTGCCCAAACGCAAGAACAAGACGAGACTTAGCCAGTCTTGGTCTTGGTCTTGCGCCAATACACCTGGTCTTGGTCTTGCGCTCCCAGTCTTGGTCTTGGTCTTGTTCTTGCAGCAAGAGTCTTGCAAGTCTTGCAATTACCTATTAGTCTATTACTATTTATTAAAGTTTACTTTAAATCCTAGAAAAACGTATTAGAATTGGAACATTGTGAGCTTGAATGAATATAGCCATAGTAAAGATCAAGCAGATTAATAAATAACTGAAGATTTGATAAGAAATTCGAAAAATCAACTGACCTATATGTCGTTTTCCATGGAAGTAACTGTTTCTTAATAAATTATAGTACGTTTCCTTGCTTTCTACCGCGCCGCCTCGCCACGTGCCGGCTCTATGATAAGGATGCCGCCGCAAATCAAACAATAATATAAAGCGTGTAAAAAAATTCGAAATTATTTTGCATGAGTATACCTACACCCTATGGCGGCAATCAAATAGTGTCAAATGTTATGATTTCGGCGTGGCGGCAACGATTGTTTTAGATTTCAAAAGAAGCCGCCGGCGCGTGTATCATAACCATGTACTTCCGAAAAGCGGCAAATTTCTTTGAGAAGTAAGTACAAAACCTTTGATGCCGCATTATCAAAGTGCCGATGGTTAAAACATAACTATGCATGCACTCAGTTTGATTTTAATAATTTTTTTATTCGCTATGTTTATGGTATTAGTCGTAATGCGCATAGGTCCAGTTTTTCATATTCTTTGATACAGTTTTTTGCGTCTCATAGAATTCCTAAGCGTACCTACCTATACACCGAACTGTTACACCTAACTACTCAGTGAAATAGCGCTAAGTCCTAGCTGCAAGACGCAAGAGTCTTGCAGGCTATGTCTTGTTCTTGCTCAAGTCTTGCACGGTCAGTCTTGGTCTTGGTCTTGCTAAAAATACGCGGTCTTGTTCTTGGTCTTGGTCTTGCAAAAACGCAAGAACAAGACCAAGACTGCAAGACCAAGACTGAATTTGGGCAACACTAAAAATAACATAAAACAAATCTTCATTATAAAAATTAAATGTTAAAATAGTCGGGAAAATGTATTCGAAATTCAAGATACAAAATATGTTGGTGTCTTCTAAATGTACAGGTGTAGAAAGCTTTTTTATTTTGTTGTTGTTGTTGATTGATAAAATTACTCTATTGATTACTATTTTAGGAACAGTTTACAAAAGCTAATCTGGTTTCTAAGGTGCAAGGGCGTAGCTACGGATGTCCCGGGTAAGACAAGAGGTCCATGCATTGAAAGCTCTGGCGAACGTGCTATAACTTAACCCTAAACATTCAACTTACTGATAACCCAACAAACTTTGCCTAATGTACAATTATTTGACGCTGTTATTTATTGATGCAAAAATGTCTATTACACACTTTGTCCAAATCGAAAACTTTCACCCCTTAGTAGTTTCTAAACGCATCGTATCACTTTCGAGGGAAAGCAACGCGCCCCTTCTCTCTATTATCACACATCATATAAAACCACCAATCACATAATACACAAACACATACGACTGTAGAGGACTTAAGTGGTCCTAAAACGGTCTGACGTAGAGAGAAGTTCCAGTCGGTAGGTCCGAGGACACCTTCCTCGGGAATCCGACACTATCCAGTCGTACGGACTGCTGGGTGTCTTTGGAAGATTTCTTCACGAACACAGAATAGTTTTTCCTAAGCGTCTTATATCAGCAACTTAGAACCAAATGTAGATTAAGTGTTCATATGTTTCATTGTTTCTTGTGTTTTCATATATATATATATATGTTCAAGTAGTTAACTATCCATAATTTTTCCATTGTTTCTTATATTTTTGTATAATAAAGTATCTAAAATACCATTAGGCGAGTCTTGGTATTGGTGTTGCCTTCTTGATATAGTCTCGGTGTTAGGCCTTGCTCTTGTTTATTTAATTTAATAAATACGTTTTTTTACTAATTTTATAACATAATTTATGTGTTTTACGAAGAATGCAGCAAATTAGCAGCAACCTTGTTATCCTTATTTCTTCTCCAACAAATTAGAAGCAAATAATAAAGACCTTTTCTTGTTTTAATAAAAAGCTTTCGGTTTTCAGCTATAGGAGTTGGTTTTGATGTTCTAGTTTTAGGAAAATGCGAAGATTAGCTCAGGATAGGAAGGAGTGGGGTTTTGCGTGTCCAACCAGTCTTAGTACTAAGGACCATATGATGTTACTGAGTTAGTTTTAAAGAGATACTTCATTTACTTTCTCTACCGATTTGCCCCTTCCAATGTCTTGGATGCGCGCTTGCAAAATCGTAGGTAGGGAGAAAAAAGCTCATTATACTCTCGACTCTTGTTCATTAAACGTACATTTTCATACAGTACCTGCCAAAAGTTTTGTTCGATCATGATTAGTAGTGCGAATCTAAGACAAGCGTTAAAGCCTTTAATATGTCTTCAAATATAAATAAACATCTCGTTGATATTTTCAGTAGTAAATGGTACCAATAACAGCACATTTGAGCAATGCAATTGTAGTGGATAAGATGGTCAATTTTTCCGTGCAGTACTATACGGAT